ATCTACGGGGTATTGTCAAGAGGAAAATGAGAAACAAGAGACCAAAAAATGCAGATGAGCTGAAGGCCACTGTCAAAGAAACCCGGGCTTCCATACCACCTCAGCAGTGCCACAAACTGATCACCTCCATGCCACTCCAAATTGAGGCAATAATTAAAGCAAAAGGAGCCCCTACCAAGTATTGAGTACATGTACAGTAAATGAACATACTTTCCAGAAGGCCAACAATTCACTAAAAATGTTTTTTTATTGGTCTTATGAAGTATTCTAATTTGTTGAGATCACAATTAAAATAACCAAAGACTTAAACTACTTCAGTCTGTGTGTATTGAATTTATTTATTACACGAGTTTCACAATTTGAGTTGAATTACTGAAATAAATGAACTTTTACATGACATTCTAATTTATTGAGATGCACCTGTACACACACTTGGATTATGTCTGATGCTCTTCCAGTCATAACACTATTAATCATGTTTTCCCCATGCATATGAAACTTTCCATACAATACATGTCGCACTTAATTGCATGATTATCCATCCTGACAACTCGTTTCAAAGAGCATGTGCAAGTAATGATCTAGATATGCACACATATAGTCTATGATGGTTCCCACCTGCACACACCAGGCAGGTTGTCTGAAGCAGACCTCTGGAGCTGAGCTGAGGAGGTTTGTTTGTGATGATAACTGTAATTGCAGTGGCTCATGACATGGAGAGGCTGATGCGAGCTAGGAACTGCCAGGACCTCCTCAGCTAGACTCAAAAAAAAATGTTTCGGTCTAAATTTGCATTTTATGTATTTCAATTGCATACCAATTTTCCATCGATTTAGATTACATAGTTTTAACAAACAAATTAATAAACAATGTGATTCATATGAGTCAGTCATACATGAATGAAACCGGTAAGATTTATCTAATAGTTCACAGCAAAGTCCCCACACTGCTCAGTGTTCATGTGTTTCCACACTACAGTGTTAAAGTAGCATTGAAGCAGTGCTAGAGTTAAGAAGATAATTATGTGATGATTGACCATTAATGATGAACACCTGCTGTTAAAAAGCAGAATCACCGAATGACAGAGGCTGCGTTTACACTTGGCATTAACATGCGATCACCGTGATCCGATCAAGCAGATCGGATTATCAGTCAATCTGGACACGGCGCATTTACACTTGGCAACATCAACTGACTTCTCTATCTGGATAACCAATCGGAACTGTCTTTCCTGAGCAATATTTAAATAAGTCTGCGGTGCAAAGTCGACCTGACGTGGTGGGTTTTCTTTTGAAAACTATATTCAGTCACGGGACATTTGACAAATCAAAATAAATGTACGAGTTTCACTAGCGCGCTGTTCTTCCGACAGATCGGGAGAGAGGGACGGTGTTTTGCGTGATGTCGATCTGCGAATGCAGACACGATGGCTGGATTGCGTTTACATTCACTGAGATCCGATCCCAATGCGTCCTTGACTACCTCTGGACCAGGGGACCATTCTCCATACGTCGCTAACTCAGTTAGCTGGATTTGATTGTTGACGATTTGGCATGATCTTGGATTGTTTGGTTCTTCGAAGACCATCCCAGAGTTGCTGTCATAGCAACAGGTCCGTAAGCTTAAACCTGCTCGGGAGCAGGCTTATTTCATGTAAACAGGATTAGATTGCAACTTTTTAAGCAGAATTGATACTTAAAATCTGTCCCAGCCAGCTCTACTTTATTACAAGAGTATCCTACTGATCCAGGGACAATAATTTAAAATAATAATCATTTACAAATTTATTTAAAGATAATATAATAATGTTGTGTAGTATTTTATACTATAGACACAGCCAGTTTTACTCACTGAAAGATTTATTCATCATAAAATAATTACTTCATAATTGAAACTTTAATTAATGCTGTCACTTAACAAATCTGTTCAAATATAAAATTAAATGAATTGCTAATTACTACATTGAAATAAAAATGTAAAGCCTGTACAAATATTAGAAATCGTGAATATAAATAATCGGTAATCATGTAAAAAATTTAACTAAAATAAAAACAGTGCACATTTCATTTATCTATTATAACATTGATTTAGTTTTGTTTGCTTGGCTGTTTCCTTATAAAAGTCCAGAAATTTGTCAAGTTTTTCGTCAGGTGTTTTTTTTTAATTATATGATGTCATTACATTGCTGTCTTGCCGCCAGCCAATCGCTGCATTGCTGATCATGGTTTTGAGTATCGATACATAACCCCTTTTAAACCAACCCATGAACGCGAAATTATCTCAGATAACTCAATCCAGCCATACTAATCATCAACAACAGGTGCGTTCGAAGAACCGAATTAGCCAGATCCTGATTAGCGCGATGATATCATCTTTTCACTTTTCACATTTCACATTTCATCTCGGATGTAATAAGCGACGTACGAAGAACGGGCCCCAGGACATGCTGATCGGATAACATTCCGATCAGAAGCGCGTTTACACTTTTCAATGTGTATGTGGACAACATCCGGATACAGGTCGCATGTTAATGCCAAGTGTAAACGCAGCCAGAGAAACACAAGAACTACAACTGACTTCAGCCACAGCCGAAGATGAAGATGAAATCAACTGAAATAAAAGAAGACATTACATTTCTCAAGATGTCAGCAGAGGAGGATTAAACAACTCCACAAACAGCATCACCAGCTTCAAACATTACTAAACAGGCTGACTTTATTTCTGTCAGACGTCTAGAGAAGCTCTTATGGAGAATTAACAGAGGTTTAGATGTTTTATTGTTTCATTTGAAATTACCATCAAGGAGATCAGTGTTTTCTTTTGTTGGACTCTTGACCCTTGACATTTTGACATTCGCTTTATTCTGTGGTTGCTAAGACTGTGTGTTTATAAAATACAGTTAGTATGGCCAGAAAAACCTAGAGAAAATAGTGATCATAGTTTGATGATAACGAAACCCTGAACATAGCCATTGAGAATAAACTCCAATTTTATAGCTGTTTTGTTAATAAGTTTGTTCATTTTAGCATTTCTGTAATTCTGTAGCATGAGCTCCAGCAGTGCTGTGCTAATTAGATAACGTGAAGGATTTTAAAAACACTTTGTGCACAGAAAGTTTCTATCTACGGCATCAGCATACAACATACACACAGACATAAAGCATTGGTGTATGATTCTCAACAATGGTGAGAATCAACAAAATAAGACAGAATACTCGAGTGCAACGTAATAGCTTACATATTCCACCAGAAGGTTATATTAGCCTTTATTTTGCTATAATGTGGCTTGTATGAAATGTTCAAATGCACTTCAAGGAACTGCAAACCTAGGAACATTTAATTTGACCGTAGCTCTGCGTAGACACGTTGAAATATAGTCAGATAAACATAGCAACAGGGACTGCATATCAGCGAGTATTGTTTGGTGAAATAAGATACATTAGTTCAGGACAATGTTCTTCACACATAATGACACATAAAAGATATGGAACTTTAATTACATTGATAAATCAGCTCACAGCTTTTGCAGATAATTGCTTTGTGATCTCAGGGAAACAAAAAGAAAGCCATATTTACATTTTTCATTAGCATGTTTATGAGCGGAAATTAAATTGCAACCCTGTTTAGTTTACCATTATTTGTTCCAGTGAGCTTCGTGATGTCCTTTCATTCCGTAGTTTTAAATGATGAACTTCCTGTTCACCCTTGTGAAAAGCAATAAATAAATACATACATACATTAACATTGCCTCGGTTTCTCCCAAGACTCTATTAAGTGATAAAGCTTTTTCCATAACTCGGTTATTCTGTTGTATCCGTCTGAGGAATTTTCTAAACCTTTCACTCAATAGCTGATTTTTCTTTATTTTTTTTTTCTTGAAATAAAAATTGAAGGCTTTAAGGGACACATTGTGCAGTGTATCAACTGAAGGAGCTCCTTGAGACACTGGAGAGCTTCAACATATGCTTGGGGTATGAGGGGGCAGATAATGAAGTTACAACTTCTGAAAAGAAGCTCCAGTGGAAGCGTCAATACTTTCGGTTTCTTTGTCTGCCTCCCTGAGACACTTCCACTACTCCCGTAGCCTTTGCAAAAGATTGACAGCAGAGATGAAGCCATTTATATCCATCTGTTTATTTATCGGTGGAATAGACATCGTCTTGTCGTAAATTCAATAGCGTGTCATTTCCCTATCATTTATTGCATGAATTGTCTTTGATTTCATACATCACAGCCAAACTTTATCTCTCCCCAGATAACTCGATCAGCGTTCTTGCCAAGCACGATTCCTTTCGGCGACAGAAACAGGAGACGTACCTCCTTCCCATCATCGTGACTGACAACGGCGAGCCTCCAATGAGCAGCACGAACACTTTAACTATCCGGGTGTGCGGCTGCAGCAGGGACGGCATTGTGCAGTCATGTAATGTCGAGGCTTTTGTTCTACCCATTGGTCTCAGCATGGGAGCTCTGATTGCTATTCTAGCTTGTGTAATTCTACTTCTCGGTAGGTCATTTCAGCTGCCTCTTTTAGTCCTTACCAATTTTTAAATTTAAAATCCACTTTGTGATTTGCATGTAAAATTTGAATCGAAAAGGCACTTAGGTAAACGAATGAAAAATCAAACCTTTGAACTGCACAAGGCCAAGGTAGAGCTCACTAAGTGGATGTTCTTGTGCCTTTCAGTTATCGTGGTCTTGTTTGTGACACTGAGGAGACACAAGAACGAGCCTCTAATTATCAAAGACGACGAGGATGTGAGGGAGAACATCATCCGTTACGATGACGAGGGAGGCGGGGAGGAGGATACGGAGGCCTTTGACATCGCCACCCTGCAGAACCCAGATGGTATCAGCGGCTATCTGCCCAGGAAGGACATCAAGCCTGACCTGCAGTTCATGCCCAGACAGGGTCAGCACTCGGGTCCGAACGGAGTAGACGTGGATGAATTCATCAACGTACGGCTTCACGAGGCAGACAACGACCCCACGGCTCCACCGTATGACTCCATCCAAATCTATGGCTACGAGGGCAGGGGCTCCATCGCGGGCTCTCTGAGTTCCCTCGAAACGGCCTCCTCGGACTCGGACCAGAACTATGATTACCTTAGAGAGTGGGGGCCGCGCTTCAGAAGACTGGGCGAGCTCTATTCAGTGGGAGAGAGCGACAAGGAGACTTGACCTCCAAGCGCAACGGACCTTTTGCTTCCGTCCACATAACTTGTGTATTATGCTACGGGGATGTTAGACACTGCTGTTTAAAAGGGGGTGGGGGCGCCTTTTTTAAATCTTCTTAGAGAGACCTAATAGCATTAGTCATCTACCACATCAGAGTGCATCGTAATGTCAGAACTTACCAGTGTCTATAGTAGGAGGTCAATGATTCTTGTGGAGTGTGAGTTTAGATTACCGTCACTGAGTGTCTAGCAGTATTTTGGGTATTTGTTGTTCACTGTGACCACCAGAGGCATCAGAACATTGATTCTTGGTAGTCGCTTGAAAGGACTGAATGGAAAGAGGACTTTCGGACACTTTGTAGCCCACTGTGGCTTGGCAGGAAAAAAAGGACTGCAGAGGCCTCAAAATGACACCACTCCACAGCGACAACAGATCTCTTGCCGTCATTCAGCCAATCAGATAAAGGAACATTTAAAAAAGAAGGTAAACTAAATAGCAATATATTGTCTACATTACTTCTGAATGTATGTGTGGTTTAACAAATGTGAGCGCAATGAAAATACGTCACACTGGCTTTAGGATCTGCCTGCTGAGATAATATTTGACCCTTTGATACTACATGGCTAGATTTCTTGAGTAAACTGGAAAAGCCTTGAGGCGTGCTTTATACAACCCTTTGTATCCATATGCTTTAAGTGTGGTTCACACTCTAACATGATTAGGCTGTGTAAGACTGCGTTGAGGACAACAAGAGAATTGTGGAAACAATGAGGCCTTCGTTTTTCAAAAGCAAGCATTAAATACAGTCGTATTCCAATGTTTTTTGGAACTTTGATGGTGTTTCTTCATTGTTGTGTATGTTTTATATAAATATATAAATATTCATTGCCAGTCGTCTGTTTTGTGCTGCAGGTTTGAGTATATTTGTACCTTTTATTTTTTATTTATTTATTGATTGATTTTAGTAAAACTGTTATTTTTATTAACATTTTAATTTAAAGTTTCAAACTTTTCCTCTTTGGCTTTGTTTTATTCTGCCGCATCAGTTTATTTTTATTTGTATTATTATTATTTTTTTTTTTAAAGCTGAACTGAATTTCTGTACTGAACTTCACACAGTGAGATTTGTTAACTACACTGAACTGTGAAATCCACAGAGGATTTGTTCTTGACCAGGAAAGATAAGTCAATATTTTATTGACACTGTGTGTGTGTGTGTGTGTGTGTGTGTGTGTGTGTGTGTGTGTGTGTGTATATATATATATATATATATATATATATATATATATATATATATCACATACTATTCCCAGTGATATCAGTGATCATTCTAAGCACAATAGCTGAGAACATCTAGTTCATGTTTATATTTGACCCCTGCCATTTTTAAAATCAAAAATCAGAATCCATTGAGTAAAGAAATACAGAAACATACATGCGTAATGTGCTGCACTGTATGATAATAGAGCAAAAAGAAAAAAAAAAGATGTACATAGAGTCGTTGCTGATTCTCTTAGCTTTTCTTTGAAGTGATAGGTTTTGTCTATGCACGTTAGCTATTGCACATGGGGATCTGGCACTGGAGCTACGTGCATATTCTGTTTGTATTGATGCCATATATGGCTTCTCTTGGACGGACAGAATATATAAAATAGTCTTTCATGCAAATCATATTTTCTACTGTGCTTTAATGCCCATACACTTGTATGTTTAATTAGCTACTCTCTGTATTGTAATCTAAGATATCCATGTATTGTTTCCTACTTTGTGAAATATATTTTTATAAATACTCGTGGGTGTAACATTTCTTAAGCCAAGTATGTCACAGGTCCTGATCCCTGTACTTGAGATCTCTTTCTTGCTTTTTTGTTTTTATAAAAATGATTCTCCCATTTGGGGGTTGTCAGTTAAGAATTTGAACCAAATTGATTACACAAGATGCTGAATAATGAACAAAATGAAGCACTTCTATCAATTTTTGCTAAGAAACCCCCTCAAATTCACAGATTTTTATTTTCTGGCGGACGACCAAAGCCTTGAATTTGAATTTGTTGGATTTCTATTTTATTGAACATAATCCCATCATTGGCCTCCCGCCAGCAGTATTCCATGCAATCGAGTTTGTCCGTATTTCTGAGGTAAACCTAGACATTTACTCTCAAAAAAGTTTGTTTTTATGTAATTGTTGTAATTTTGTAATTGCTGGTCTATGAAAACATGCACTAAACAAACTTTCTTGCTAGGTTATTTTCAGCATCTCATGCCATGAGCACTGTGTTTTTAAAACACCGCGTCAAGTTAAAAACTCTCTTTCAGTTGTGCTCCGTTTAGCTGTTTTTGAAGACAACAGCACGTCCTGTTTGACCGGCTCCTTACTCATTCTGTCCTATCTACTCTTGGTAAGTGTGGTTTGGCAAGGCAAGCTGCATCTTGTACATCTATTTTATAAATAATAGACTGTATAAAAATGAATATTTCATTGACAGCCCTACATAAAAACAAATGAGTATAAGCTTTATATCAGAGTTAAGAATATTATTGTGCTAACAATGTATGCATTTATTACCTTCAAACCTCCAGTTTCCTGTATTTATCTATATTTCCTATATTTATCCCTTGACCTATTACAGTCACCTAGTCTTTTTTGTGATTGGCATCAGATACTTCCTTCATATATATA